CATCCTTCTGTTTTTTAACAGGAAGTCTTAATATCTCCATTTACTATCAGCCATTGAGGCCAGAACAACTTTTTTTTAAATCGAATCTAAAATGCAGATGGTTGCTACCTTAAAGGTATAGAGGATGATTTTTTATTTCCAAGTGGATCATCTTAGTAAGTGGTCCTCCAAATTGTCAATCATTCCGGTGGTATGTTTACATAAGGCCGTCCTACTGGCTTATCGCCAGTCAGCTATCTTTTTTTGCACATGCGAACTTTCAGGCGTATGTATATCTTGGGTGAGCTACGGTTTCAGACAGTCATTGAAGCTCACCTTTCTCAACCTGATTCTTTGAAAATGGCCGAGTGTTGTAAGAGAAAAGAGTCTATGAAATGTATGAGAAGAAAGGAAAGGCATCAGAAGAGGCAGATATATCGCAGACTTACGGGATTTGCTGTCACAGTGGCCCACTTTAGTCATAGATTGTCGCTACCCGATAGTGGTGACTAATAACTAAGATGATGCAGGCACTGCGCCGCGGAGGAGGAGTTACTTAACCAACAGGGAGAAAATGTAGTGATCATCTGTCCAAATGGTAAGTTAACTGAGTTGGCTATAAAGTCCATTATATAGTCCCCGCACTATATAGTGATTGAGTGGTTTTGGGGTTAGAACGACCTTCGGGCACAAGAGAAATGCTGCAAAACTTGATTTGATTTGATTGATTGTTTGCAATCAATAAATGCAATTGGATAGAAGAAAATAAAATTTTAGGTTGTAAATGTAGGTTAGTGTTTCTAATTGATTTTAGGCCAGCAGTGAAGGCCTTAATGGCCCTGACAGCCCGCCACTCGCTCGTAATACTAACTCAGTTTTTTATGATGATGCTCTTGCCGATTGACGGTTTTCCATTTTTTCTTTTCCTTATCACTGTTTTTAGTGCAGCAGAAGCAATGATTTGGAGTTGAAGGTGTTGTTGTGCTTTTTTTTGGCTCTGTGGCTCACTTCATACATTAAATAATTAATTATTGTTTTGTTTTTGTTTGTGTGTTTCGTTTTTCTAAAACTGAAAAATTACTGGCCCTACCCCCTATCAATGTTTATCTGAAGTATTTACATTAAACATAGAAAACACCATTTATGATTAGATTCATTATTAATATATTTTTTTTGAACCCCACAAGCAAACCACCGCTGCTGTTGAAGGCAGCTATTATTAGCTCCATCTATAATCAATAGTAAAATCATTTTATCTTTGAAGAATTCTAAGCATGATTTCAATTCAACCCGCTTGGTTCCCAGAACTTGTTGAAATGGGTTTTTGCACTGAATAAAACACTGAGTTTCCATGGCAGCTGAACAGTATCACTAAGAGTCCTTTATTGAAATCATGGTGGGGAAATGTTGGACTGATCTGT